TCTTCCCCTTCCCCCAACGAGCCTAGTTTAAAGCCTGCTGGAGGAGATCCGCCAACCAAGAAGAAAACACACACTTACCTTTAGGGGAAAGGTGGAGTCCATCCCATCCGAGCATGTCTCTCATTGTGATGTGTGGGTTGTTGTTGAGGAAGCCAAAGCCGACCTTGAGACACCATTCCCGAAGCCACCAGTTGGTCTCTGCGATGCACATCCACTCACTGTAGGACAGAAGAGAAAACCACCTGTGCACCTACCTCCTTCAGCACGCCCCCCAGAGCATGGTAGTCCACCATCAGGTGATCAGGGCTTCTCCTGGCCGCATCATTAGTACCCACATGGATTAGGACCAGGGGGTAGTAAGCGGTGGGCTGGATCATGGCCTGGATCATCCCCTTCATGTCCTGAATCTTTGCTCCGGGTAGGCAGTAGACCTCATGTGTCAAGGGGTCCTGGCGACAGATGGGGCCCTCCGTACCTCTCAGGATGGAGTCGCCTATGACGATCACTTGACACTTTTTCCCTGGGACTGCTTAGCTCCTTTGGCCTGCTCAGATTGTGGAGAGTGTGAAGTTGCCTCCTCTCCGGTTGCCTCCTCCCCCTCCTTCTCCTACAGTGTTGCCAGGGCCTCGGACCTGTTCTCCAGCCGGACTGGAAGAACTGGTACTGCTGTGTTACGAGCAGCCCTGGTTCTGGAGGTGACCGTCTGCCACTCTGCAGTGGAGGGCACTTCCCGAGGTGCTTCTTCCTTGGGTGTGTGGCCCAGCAGGGAAAAGAAATAGCCGTCAATTTCATCCTCTGCCTCCCTGATTCCCCTCAGCCTGCTAACCTCCTCCTGGAGCTCCCTCACCTGCACCTCCAGGGCCCAAAGACGGGCACCAGCAGGACAGGTGTGGGGATCCCCAATCCCTGCCCCCCCCAGGCCTTGCTGGGCAACTCCCTCAGGCCAGGGGGTGGGGGGATGCCAGCCCCCCCCAGGGGTTCTATCTGGGTGGAGGCCTCAGACAAGCCCCGGGTAGGCTGTGCCACCTGGGCAGGGGCCCTGGCAGCATTCCATGTCAACACCATCATAGGAGTTGCTGCTTGTTTATGACTTAGTGCAGTGCCTTCTTCCTGCCCTAGCAGGAGTCTCCCTCCTGGCCCTTCTTGCTTGCCCACCAGCACGAACGCCGACGCAAATGCTGGTGCGCTCTTACGGAGTGTGCCTGTTTGCATGCTCTGCTCACACGCTGCAGCTCAGGAGCGTGGCTCCCTACTGGCTCAGCTAAGAGGGATCCGGGGGGCTTCCCCTCTGGATCCAGCTCTGCTGCATCTGGTCCCTCTGCCCACTTACCTTAGGGGGATCAGCTGCTGCTGCCCCGCTGCTGGCTCCGCTGCTGCTGTGTCCACCTCCGCCTCCGGTCAGGTAAAGAGGCACACATGCATGCAGGACACATGTGTGTCTGGATCCCTCCTCTCCTCCCTGCTCCTGACTCCCATATGGTGCCTGCTGTGCTCACCTGGGTGCTGGAGCAGGAGCACCAGTAGATTTGGCCTACCAGGCAAAAAGTTTGAGCACCACTGATATAGGCTTTAAGAACCAGGAAGCCTAAGTTGATATCCCCCTTTCATAGCACCTGCTTGTCTGTCATAATTATAACACAATGTTCTTCTTTTGCTGTGTAGATGAGATTCAGTGATTGTACAGGTATAACCAGATTAGCTGGTCCTCTGCCTTTCCAAGCCCTTGCATGATTTGCCATGCCAGAGTGTACCAACCTACCTCTGTGCATGATGTATTCACTGTGGAATTAGTATGAAGGACCTCATGGATTTTTTCCAGAATACACTGATAAAAAACATGGTAATGTGCTGGCAAGTGAGGATGCAGAAAAACAGCTGATACATGATGGAAGGGGAGGTGGAAGGAAAGTTGTATGTACCCAATTCAAACATATTTGATATAATCAAGTCAGATGAGAAGGTTATGACCTAGCATTCAGAAATGTTCATATTTTTAATATAGATGAAGCCAAAAAGAATCTGTCACTCTGTAAATTTCTGACTTACATCCCTAGTAACAGTACTTTCCCTCCAACATAGTCACCTTCATGGCACATTTGCCCATTAACAGAAAGAAAGCACTGGCTCCTTCAAAGTTAACATGTCACACTATCTCTTTCTCATGGGTGACTGGTGCCTCCTGAGTCGGGGGGGCACTTCCCCCCCAGCAGCCAGTCAATGACTGGGGGGGGTGTCCCCTGCAGCTGATCATACCAACCAGGTGGGGGCCCACAGCCAATCACACCGACCCAGAAATGGCAGCGGCACACCGCTGGCACTTCCAGGTGCACCGCTGGCACTTCCGGGTGGGTGCAATCGGCCATAAGGATCACTTCTCCTGGCTCCCCACTGCCCAGCCAGCACTCTCAGGGAGGGCACCAGTGCTCTCACCTGCCTCCTCTGCCCAGGAATGTTGACTGTCAAGGGGTGTACCAGTGCTATCAGGGGCTGCACATGCACCTCTGTGCCCCCTCTACATGTTGCCACTGCTCTTTCTCCTTCAAAGCTTCCATGAATGCTTCTATCCCTCACCTTGGAGCAGTGCAAACATTTTCTCTGTTTCTCAAAACTAATTCAATCTTGATCTCATACTGGGGCTCTGGATATGCAGAACTGGTTTTTTTCTATTGTGAATATATTCGTAACTGTTAATTCAGTCAGAAATGCAAACATAGATATCTCTATTCAGACAAGATTTCCATTTGTAACTAACTCATATATTCTGTTTACAGGTCGAAATAAGTAATGAACATTGATTTGGTGCTGCTGCCGAAGAAACAGATTTTAGAAGAAAAAAACAACTTTGTGAATTGTTGTCATGGAAGAGATACACGCTTCTCACAGAGTATGAATTACTCTTCCCGACTCTGTGTGACTGAATGCCTCAGTCAGCCTCAGTATTCTCATCATTATCATCATTAGGTGGATCCTTGTAGATGATCTTGGATTTTTTTTAATTATTTGCTTATATGGACACTTGTAAATTGTAAATTTTTCCTTTTTTAATTTTGTTTTTTCTACAATACCTAGTATTAAGGCATGAAAACAAAACAATCTGTGGAAACTATGAGAGGGTGTGTGTGTGTTTTCAAGTTCAAGTTCAGAGGGTGTGTGTGTGTTTTCAAGTTTTTTTGCCTGAAAAAATTATATGTGCCTGGTAAAGATTGTGTTAGTAAATTTGACATCAGAATATTTGTCAGGGGTCAGATACCAATAGTGTAAAATGGATAATTTTTAGCAATGCATCAGACATTCACAATGTCTACACATCATATTGTTTGAGCTACTGTATGCAGTAGGAATCGATCAATAATTCTTCTTTTCCAGGTTTCCTAATAATGATGTACTTGCATAAATATTTTAATTCATATATGGCTCCTTCTCCCTTTTTAATCTTTTCTCTTCTGCACCCACAAGCAATAGTTGTCTGTGAACTGCAGGGAGGTAAAATGGATGTTCTCTATGGATGTCTTTCCTCAGGAACCCTTATATGTAGGGCTCTTGAATTGTCTGTCATTTTACACTGGTCTTTATTCTTTTCCTTCTCCTCCCTGAAAGGAGCCCAGCATGAATGTACAGTATAGGCACTAACTGTAGCCTTAGAAGGGTTATTTTTGCTCTTAATTTAAAAGTAAACAGAAAGGTGTGGATGTGAAAATGTGTATAAAATTTTGTAAAGTTATCTGTAAATACTTCTAGACATGTATGTAACTGTGGCATTTTGTTTGTCTCCACCAGTATAAAAGTGATACAAAAAAGCTATTTTCTTTGGGGAACTGGCAGTGTCTTCAAAAAGACCCTTTTAATTGCTTTTTTCAATACTATTTAAAATATAGCCCAAGAGTGTATGGTTCTTTCCTTCTCTGAAGAACAAGTACTGCATAGGCAGCAGAACTGCAAGCTTCTCCACAAAGCCCTGCCAATGTGCCTCAAGCTGCATAGGGAACAACTTTTAGGGATCTAAAGATCCCTGCAGAGATTCCACCTCCCTGCATGTCAAATTGTGACCTCTTTGGTGGGATTGGCAGCAAAGGTGGGTGGCTCTTAGGACACCCCTCCATTGTGAATTGAAGTGAAGTTACCAGGTTCTTTCAAGCAGTATTCAGGTGATAACAACTTTTTGTCCATCATTAATGGATCGAGGCATCTGGCTTTGCAATTGTTTTTGTCTGAAGCTTATCTCAATGGGTTTTTCAGGTATTGACAAAGTTGAGCTAAACTAAGACTTGTTATGGTTCTATACATTAAGAATGATATATGTGCTATTTACTATTAAGAACCTGAACAGCTTGTTAATGGAAGTGCTGTCAGGGTTAGGTAAAGGAATAGTGATACCTGCCACCTTTTATCTATTTACTGAATCAGCACTACACTGTCTTGAAACTTAGAATCATAGAAAATTAAGGTTGAAAGGGACCTGAGGTCATCTAGTCCAACTCCCTCCGAAAAACAGGACCATCCCCAACTATATCATTCCAACCAAGGCTTTGTCTAGCCAGGCCTTAAAAACCTCCAAGAATGGAGATTCCACAACCTCTCTGGGTAACCTGTTCCAATGTTTTACTACCCTCCTAGTGAGAATGTTTTTTTTCCTTATATCTAACCAAAATTTCCCTTGCTGCATCTTGAGATCATTGCTCCTTGTTCTGTCATCTGCCATCACTGAGAACAGTCTAACCCCATCCTCTTTGTAACCACCCTTCAGGTAGATGAAGGCTATTAAATCCCTCCTGTCTTCTCTTCTCCAAACTAAATATGCCCAGTTCCCTCTTATGTCTTCTCATAGAACGTGTGCCCCAGCCCCTTAACCATTTTGTTGCCCTCTGCCGGACTGTCTCCAAATTGTCCACATCTTTTCTGTAGTGGAGACCCAAAACTGGACACAGTACTCCAGATGTGGCCTCATAGGTACCAAACAGAGAGGAAGACCCACTTTTCCTGATCTGCTGGCAACGCTTCTAATAATGCAGCCCAGTACGCTGTTAGCCTTCTTCACAACAAGGACACGCTGTTGGCTCATATTCAGCTTCCTGTCCACTGTAATCCTGAGGTCCTTTTCTGCAGACCAGCTACTTAGCCAGTTGATCCCCAGCCTGTGCTGGTGAATGGGATTGTTCTGTTCTAAGTGCAGGACTTTGCAGTTGTCCTTACTGAACCTCATGAGATTTCTTTTGGTCCAATCCTTTAATTTGTTGAGGTGTCTCTGAATCCTAGCCCTACTCCAACTTATCTACTACTCCCCACCACAGCTTGATGTCATCCACAAATGTGCTGAGGGTGCAATCTATCCCATCTTCCAGATTGTTAATGAAGGTAATGAACAAAATTGGCCCCAGGATCAACCCCTGGTGTACCCTACTTGATACCGGCTTCAAGCTAGACATCAAGCCATTGATTACTACCCTTTGAGCCCAAGATCCAGCCAGTTTTCACGTGAAATCAGCAACGGTACAAAAACAGTAATGTAAACCTAATCCATTTTCAGTATTTCTAGGACTAGAAATAGTATAGGGCAGCCGGCATCACGAGAAATCTGGCTGTGCCAAAGAAAGAAGGGCTACCAAATATGAAAAGCAATACCCAAGTGCTCCGTGTATTTGTATGCTCCCATTTGTATGTGCAGTGTGAGCTGTAACAAAGTATTTGGTCTGCCATGTCTTGAAGTTATTATCTTCCAGGCACTGAGGTCAAAAATGCATATTATGTCATAAAACAGTATCACTTTTGACACTGCAGAAGGTCAAACTGCAAAGCAGTTAAGATCGCTTATGAGCTGAAAAGCACTCTTCTCTATCTATGTAGTATTTTGCTGGTGCTTATTGAAAACAATTCTTATACATATGGCCTCACATAACCTCACATAAGAACACAATACGTTCAATTGTGCCTTCTCCTATCTGTGACACTCCAAAATGTTGCATTCTGTGTCCTCTGAACCTGGAGAAGCCAGACAGAGCATTTCAGGGTCCAGGATTTTTCCATTGTTTAATTAAAATTTATTTATGTGCTTGAATACTCTACCTCCCTGCTCCACACTCATAGCTGGATGCATGGGGATATTCAGCACATATTCCTGTGTTTACTGTATTTCCATTTCGGCTTTACATTTCAGAATTAATTCCCTGGCACTCCAGTGTGGGCTGGCAGATTAAAGGTGCCGATTGAACCAGTGTGACATGCCATGGATCGGGTAACAAACAATGGGAAGGAACAACAGATCCGTGTCATTTACACAGCTCATCCTCCAAAGAAACACATTGTACTACATTCTGGCAGTGCCTGGGAAGCATAGATCTAATTTTCTGTAAACACAGACACATCTGCTAGACTATGTCTTGCAAATTCATCTCAATGTGTCTGTTCCCCTGCCATGTCATGGAATTTACAGATTCTCATCATACTAATAAATACATATGTATATACCACACAGAATCTGTAAGGCACTTAAAATTTGTTGGCTAGAACAGCACTTGACGTATTTTCCAAACAAAATATTGACTATTTTTCCTGTGCAACACAGTAGTATTTTCTATAGATCTATATACTCTTTAAAAAAAGGCATCCTAACTGACACAGCAAGACTACCATCTGTCTTACTTAATGGTCAGGACATTCCTCATTGAAAGGGATTTGTCTTCATTAAAACAAGTTCAAATGCATACTGCATTACTGAGAAAACTGTTGTGTTTTTCTAAATGGAACATAAATAAATAATAATATAGTAATGATCAGCCTGTACATGTCGGGAAAATAATCTTACATATAATCAATGGAATGTTAGATTGTTCATCCTAGTACAGTGAAAATACATTGAAAGTACAGTATTTTTTAGGAAATACAGAGCAATAATGTCTATACTTTTGCAACAAAAACTTTAAACAAAGATTAGGCAATGAAACAGGAAGTGACCAGATTTGGCATGTTTACCAAGGTGAATTTTTTCATCCAGGTTCAGAAAATTACTGGATTTGTACTTCAACACAGAATTTGAAAACAATTGTGTTTTCAAATCTCAGATGCAGATCATAAGCTCATATCAATTCTCCTGGCTTTGTTGACCAACAGGGACATGGCAAATGATGCCCACTGAAGACCACCTCTTTCAACTTCAAACTTCAAACTTTTGACTTTCTTTTTCTCCTTTGGTTTTCCCCTTGTGCGTGCTCTCTCTCTTTCAGCCTCACTAGAAGCCTTATAGACAATTGAATTAGCATGCAGTTGATAAATAGCAAAATTGGGGTGACTGCAGTGATATGACAAAATACATTTGGGTATGAATTTTAGTGGTTTCCATTAAGGCAGTATAAGTGCTCTGTAGTTCCAAGCAGTTGAGAGAGGAAATATTTTGGATGAAGGACAATACAACTTTATGAAGACTGTTTCTTTTTAAACAAACGTGTGGCAGAATATTTTAAGAAGGTTTTTTTCCTGCTGTTGGAGAGGTTGCTGGTCATAGTGGTGTCCCCCATTCTAAGTACATGGACTGTTTCTCACATCTCTGGAATCTTCAGCAAAGAAGAAATGCTTGAAAATACCACCACCATCTTACAGAACTCTCTGAAATGACAGTAGTTTGGATTTAATGACATTTTCTTTAATGCTAAGCCACAAGTACAACTAGGAAATTACTTTCAGTGCAGCTACACCAGTTAACAGCAGCTGAGAATCTAAACCCATTATCTTTTCCCTTTGACAGCTTTCCGCCTGTAGCACCATGGAAGCCATTGACAAGCTAGTATTTGCAACATATTTGTACGAAGATACTACAGATATCTCCTATGCCAAGCATAGGGAAAATTTAGTCACCTCAAATACAAATACTGACAAATGCTGCCTTTCTCATGGCAAGTGCTGTATGTTCTCTTCACCAGGCTGTCTCACTTCCTTTCACTTCAGAACTGCCTGATTTAAAAAAGCTAGTCTAACAATCTATCAAGTTCCTATAACAATATTTGACAATGGCAAATAAAAATTGAC